AAATGTTCGAACCGTTTTAAATTCGAATTTGTTATTGCGTATTGGTTCGATTATAGAACGATTGTAAACGTTCCAGAAAATTGATTAAATTGAAAATAGTTCGTTTGATTCTCGGCAATTCTCTTCAGCGGTAGGTGTTATATGACAATTACTATGGTTATTGAAATATTGAATGTAAATGGGGTTTGCTTGCAAAACCTCCGCGGACGAAGTTGCGGGTAACAGCTAGTGTTTTTATATATTTCGATTTCTTAAAAAAATGTTCGAACCGTTTTAAATTCGAATTTGTTATTGCGTATTGGTTCGATTATAGAACGATTGTAAACGTTCCAGAAAATTGATTAAATTGAAGATAGTTCGTTTGATTCTCGGCAATTCTCTTCAGCGGTAGGTGTTATATAACAATTACTATGGTTATTGAAATATTGAATGTAAATGGGGTTTGCTTTCAAAACCTTCGCGGATGAAGTTGCGGGTAACAGCTAGTAATTATTAAGTTTTAATAATGACTGCATACCACATGACAAGGGTATATTTGGTTCAAATACAGCTGTACAGTACAGTACAGTACATAGTTTGTCTTCCATGTAAATATCTGTTATATATATATATATATATATATATGTCAGTTCAAATACACTTTTCTGATAAAAAGGAGTTTACATTAAATGCTTATTAATGCCTATAATGGTTTTAAGATGGTATTATAATACAACATTAAAGCTCCTAGGTGTTCACTTAATTTTATCTTCAATTTTCTTCCCATTTCTACTATATACACACTTGAATACACATTAATAAAAAACAGTATTAGTTAAAAAGGTTGGTTACTGTTTATAGATTAAAATAATATAGATGTTGTGGATATTGGAAAGCAAGTACAATGTCATTACAATGTTTATACTTGCTGAAGGGGGACAGTTGCAAAAAAACATAAATAAAAGGATTCACTGATAGAATTTAGATTTCATCAAGGTTGTTAACAGTTGTGTTAATAATTATAAAAATAGAATGTAAAATTTAAAAGATGTATGTAAGTGTATTGGTGTTATCAATGTAATTAATTTATGATGGCATATTATGTTTTTATATAATTTTGTAAAAAAGTGGAAATAGTCATTTTAAATCTGGCTTCATAAGACAACCATGACATCTGAAAATATTTGTTTAAAAAGAACCATAATTTCTGTTACTAACTGTCATGTTTTAGAAATTTCATAAATAGAAACAAAATTTGAACTACAAAAAAAGAAAAGTTAAAAACAGACAATAACCAAACACCTTTTTCGTTACCGAGAAAGTTTATTTAAAACAAATGTTTTCAACTTATTCTATAGGCCATCGTCAGGTTGAAAACAGACAATTGGAACATTTCTGTTCCACAAGATCAAATATAAATATTTAAATTTCAAACAAAAAAATAAAAAAAAAACAAAAAAAAGTAACATAGGAGTAATTAAATCTCTACCTGCATTACTATAACCAATTAATAAACTCCAAATACCTTTAAAATGCAGTCTATTTTAAACGTTCAATAAGTGGTTTAAAATAGACTGCATTTTAAAGGTATTTGGAGTTTATTAATAGAAGTAATGTATAAATTTTTTTTTGAAATTTAAATATTTATATTTGATCTTGTGAAATGGAAATGTTCCAATTGTCCGTTTTCAACCTGATGATGGCCTATGGAATAGGTCGAAAACATTTGTTTTAAATAAACTTTCTTGGCAATGAAAAAGGTGTTTGGTTATTGTCTATCTTTTGCTGAGCACATTCTATTTAATGTTAAAAATATATGTTTTCATTTGGTTACTATTTTCAAGAGAAATTATTTAGATATTGAATCATACTATTAGATATGAAAAAATTATGGCAATCTGAACCATAGTGATAAAGAAAATTAACATAATTGTAGCTTATGAGAATAATAAACAACACCCCTATCTTTGTTGAGTAACTTCATTACATACCTATTAATTTTTGGATTTGTAAAGTGAACTTCATCTGAAATTGTATAAATATTTTCTCTTTCTTCCTCGCCTTCACCTCCAGCTTCTGTAACTTCCTCATCATCTAAAAAACAAATATTAAAATTAATTACATTTTAATACTTTATATTGAAATAAACTTGAGAAACTCTGTTTATAGGTGTTAATCAATGATCTAACAGCAACAAATACAATCCCGACAAAAAACCCTCAAACAGCATGTTATTTTAATTCATCTCTAACTTATTCTTCAATAATATCAAACAGAAAAATTTTTATACACTTATAATTATTTTATATTAGTAAACTTTTATTATAACTGAGGATTTTACATAAAAAATTTTTCATGAAAAATGTTATAAGCAGTTGAAAAAAGCATGTGCGACGAAAAAAAAAGCTCGAACAGAGCCATTTCTGACAAATAATATCTCAGACAGTACATTAATGTTTAACTTTTGGCTTGTATAACTGTGTTCATATGATCATTCATCATATCAATATGAGCCAGGCATTCATTTGGAGTAATTTCATCCAAAATTTGCTTGATTTTTTGCTTTAAACCACCCACAATTACTTGAGGACATTTTCTCAATGCTTTTTTAATTTTATCCCACATATTTTCTTCAGGGGAAAGGTCAGGACTGCTCAATGGCCATTTTAATATGTTGTTATTATTTTGGGCCAATCAAGTCTTGGTGGTTTAGCAGTATGGCAACTTGCACAATTCTGTTGGAAAATAAAATGTCTGTGATATTATAATTTTTCTAATGATGGTAATAAGTTTCCTCGAGGATTTGTTTATACACTGGCGGAAATTGAAAGTGTTACACACAGATGGAATTGATAGAAATCCACAAAACTTGGTAAACATGTACAGGGGCATACCCAGAAGAAATGAACACAAAATGAATTACACAAAGTTTTATTGCTGTTTGGTACATGTTTCTGTAAGAGGTATGCTCACCTTGAACACGGATACACTCTTGGATCCTTGCAGGCATTGAATCAATAAGTGCTTGAATGTCTTGTTGGAGTATATCTCTCCATGCCTGAACAACTTGTGCTATCAATTGTTGTATAGTGCGTGCTGGATGGCTATGAGACGTAATCTGTCTACCCTTGGCATCCCAGACATGCTCTATAGGGGATAAATAGGGGAGACCAGGTGGGCCAATTCATGATTGCGACACTTTGCAAGGCATGTCTTGCGATGGCAGCAGCATGAGGATGGATATTATTTTGTTGGAAGCTACCACTCTGGGTGGTGTTCATGAAAGGTATGACTACTGGATGGATCACCCTGTCCACATACTAGCAGGTGGTTATTGTTGTGTCACTCAGTCCTGCTGTGGTAACTGATTGCCCCCCCTAAACCATGACACCAAGAGTTGACCTGAGTGGCATTCTGAAATCACATCAGGGTGGGCTCTTTCTCCAGTATGCCAGTGGACATGTTGCTGACTATCACATTGGCCTAAACAGTGTACGCTATTCATGTGGCCAATTACATCTAGCAGCACACCATGTTAGCCATTGTTGGCAATGAAATCTGGTTAAGGGAACACATTGCATGGGGGTCTGAAATCTCAGTCCAGCATCGAGCAATCGGTTTACAATTGTCCTACTGCTCAGATCTGTGCTGCCGTCACACCATATTGTAAGTAACTACTGCTCAGATCTGCCGTCACACCATACTGTGCTGATGGCAGCAACTGCAATCAGCAATTCTTTCTAGACTGCATATTTTAATATCAAAACACTTACAAAGAGTATCAATGCTAGACACAACAACAGTGGAAGCAGATTTGAGATTAGTGATGAGGCAAAGTTTGAAGTCTGCATTGGAGACAATAGAAAAAAGTCATTAGAAAGCAACAGACATTCCATTATGACTCTACAGTGCACTGTAAAATTCCCAGCAAGTGTTATAGTGTAGGGATGCATATCAGCTCAAGGTATGGAAAATTGCATTTCATTGAGGGATCAGTAAATGCGGCAAAATACGCTGGTGGAAATTGAAAGTGTTACACCCACCCAATATTGTCGAAGACATATGAAATTGGGACAAAAGAATCTCTTTTTGAAGGGTATTGAATGATCAAAAATTAAATGAGGTACATACAGTGGTATGGAAATTATGGGGAGATTTGTTATGCAAAATTGTTATAGTGTTTAGTTTATAACTTGTAAACTGTGTTATGGAAATTGACTTTTTTGGTCCACATGTTGTTGACGATTAGCTATGCCATATTGATGAGTGAGAACTCTGTACACCCAAATGTCTGACTTTGAAAGAGGTTGGATAATTGGCATGTCAGAAATGGGAGCATCATATCGTGAAATTGCCCAAAGGACTGGCCATAGTGCAATGTCAGTACAAAGAGTGGCCACATGGTGGATGCAGGAAGGGTCCAGTACTCGCAGACCTGGCATAGGTCCACGCAGAAGGATGATGCTATGTGAAGACCACCATATTGTGCTGATTGCAGTATCAAAACACTTACTAAAACACCTTTTCTTGCAGTCGGCGCTTTATTATAATGACTTTCAAACGTTTTCGATCTTATTAAAAGACCTTTCTCAAGAAAATAAAATTAACTAAGTAACAAAATAAACGACATAATCGTAAATCGAACGCTTAGTACGAATAACAGTTTTTTAAATCTTTCGAACTCGCTTATAATCCGTTGTACATGACGTCATTGTAACCGGAAATATAAAAAGATTACGTAACTATCTAAATATAAATACTTAAAGATGCCATCTCCCTACATCGTTCAAAAAATATAATTTGAGATACATATTCACTATTTTCTTCAATTATTAATTTTATATTAAGCTAGAGGACCATGCTGCTGATATTTTAGTCGATTCCCGGAAGTTGATTGCAAGGCCTTTATGCTTTGCCTTACAAATCTGCCAGGCTTCCGCGTAATGTCGGTGTCTCCTGTCTCGAACTATCTGCATTAGTCTTGCTTGGTCCCATTCAACATTGACGTCTTGCTGGTCCGCTAGAACGTAGGTGGCTAGCGCAGTGCAAGGTTGTTTTTTTCTTATATTTGCTTGATGTTCTGCTAACCTGTCTTTGATACTTCTTCCTGTTGCCCCTACATATATTAATTTACTTCGTCGCCTTGAGTCCGAAACTGGAATTTTATATACCCCGGGGAGTGTTCTTCTGTCCACTAAATCTTTATCAGATCGCAGTAGTTGGTACGTGGTGCGGGTTCTTTTATATATGATTCTTTTGTTCTGGGCCTTTCCGATGCGTCGGAAAATATTATTCAACGACGCATTATATTCCATCGTTAACACTCCTTCATTATGAGGTAAATTTCTCCTCTTAAGGCTCCTACTACTCTTGTTGGTAATAGCTTTAAGATTAATCCCGTACTTTCTGGCTAAGTTATATACATAATTCAGTTCATCCTTTCTATCATTTGCATTGTTACAGTGCGAATAAGCTCTTGCGATTAACGTTCTGAACGCTGCTATTTTATATGCTGGAGGATCGTGAGAAATCCACGGAATAAATATAGGGTTATAGGATGGCTTTCTGTACACTTTAGTCGTGAACCCTCGTAAGTTGTTAATTTGTATATGCAGATCTAAGAAATGTATGGTCTTATCATTTTCTTGTTCTACCTCGATCTCTAGGCCGAATCTATTGTCATTTATATCCTTTATAAAGCTCTGTAAGTTGGGTTGAGTGTTCCAGAAAATAAGTACGTCGTCTACATATC